TAAACTCTGCAAAGATTCCAAAGTGATATTTCCCGTGTGGCGTTGTCTTTGATTTCCTGATCTATCCGATTCCCTTGAGAATTTTTCCCTTTTCTATGGTTTTTTCGGAATAATATTTGTCTTCAGAGAACTTTCCAATTATTCATTCTTAATAATAAAGTCTTCAATATTTTGATCTTTTCGTCTTCATTATTTTCAAATTATCATTCCTCAAAAAAAATTAACTCATTCTCTCTAATCTTTCTCTCTTTATCAAATAAAATCTTCAATATTTATGATCTCAAATTATTTTCTTCGATTGATTTTTCATTTTTGCGTCGTGACAGGCTCAAGAATTTGTCATGAATCGCGATGAGGTCATCTCAGTCACAATTTCCAAAAAACGTATTTATTTATATTTATTTGGACTTCAAATTTAATCATAATAAGACCTCCGTCTCGATTAACTCGACCATTTTCAATATAATTTCTATAATCAATCCAGATTGAATCGAACGAGCCCTTTTTGATTTCAAAAATTGTTTTCAAAATTTTGAAAAATTCCCCCAATAAGAAATAAATTTGAGAAATGTTCCTTCAAAATAGAAAAACCTTGATGCACTTAGAATTAAATAATCGGGTCGGTATTGAAGCCCACCTCTTCTTGTTCATAAATGAGTTGCTCTACCACTGAGCTACCGAAATAAACCCGTACAATCAAGCCTCCCACTTTCCAGAGAATCAATCCTCAATTGATGTCATCAATTTTCAAATATTTCAAGTTCTTTTTATCTCTATATTTTATTTTCTATCTATTTTATGAGACTCACCTTCGGATCTGGCCCTACTTTGATGCTACTGTCCTCACTCTGGCTCCATTTTTCATAATTATTTCACAATTATTTTTCTCCTTTATATCAATTTCTACATTACATGAAATATTTCAAAATTTTATGAGATCCTCCCACAAAAAAAAAAAATTTCAATTTTTTTTGTTTCATATTTTGATTAAAGACTGCATTTTTATAGTTCCATTTATCCTTATTTTCTTTTAATTCATTATTTCCATTTAGTTCATCATTCTTTATTTTACTTTTATTTGGAATTCCGAGAATCTCTACAGAAGAATTTTTGTCTTCTTGATCTGGAGATTTTCCTCGTGAATTTCCATTATGAATTTGTTTGAGGCTATCAGGAAATTCATCAGAAGATTCCGTGTATATCTGGCTTTCCTCGAATGTGTCTCCCAAATCTTTTTTATGTATCTCATTCTCATTTTTATTTATCTCATTTTCATTTTTACTCATCTCGTTTATTTTTATTTCATTTCCACTTTAATTTATCTCATTTTTATATTTCCTTATTTTATTTATATTCATTTCATTTCCATTTTTATTTATCTCATTTTTATTTTTACTCATTTCATTTGCATTTTTACTCATTTCATTTTTAACTTCATTTATTTCATTCTTATTTTTATTCAGTTCATTTTCACCACTAGATTGCATTTCCTTATTCTTGCTTAATTCCGTTTCATTTATTATGCTTGCATTATTTTCATGTTTATCCTGATTTATTATTCCAGTATTTTCATAATTATTTTGACTTATTCTCATTTCTTTGATGACGATTTCAATTTTTTTGACTTTATTTTCTTCAATTTCATTATTATTTTAAATTTTCAATTTATTACTTCTTTTTATTTCATTTTCCTCATTTTTTTTTATTTTATCATCATCATTTATCTTATTTGATTTTTTTTTTTCATTTTCAGCACTAGCTTTTTGGAACATTACAATTTTTGTTTTACGAGGTTTACTTTCACCTTATTTATAATGTAAGGGATTTTTGCTGGTGTTTCACCAGCAGAGATCCCAAACTACTTTGACATCTTCTCTATCGCTCAATTGTTGGGCGCCAGCTTGATTTTCACGGAAAATACAACGGTAAACGGGCCTCAGAGGATAACTCATCTACCCTGAGGACTTCTTATGGCGGGAGTAACTATGCCGAGCCAGCATCAGCGTGATCCGGTGGAGTGGACGAGGTCCACCATACTAGGAGTAATTCACTCGATGGATCTTCGTCTTTTCAGCCCAGAGATCTCGATAAAGCACATCTTCCAGGAGCCATTTCTCCATGTATTTTTCGCCGAGGATGTTTCCACTCCTCTGACGTGTTTCTTTTCTGTCCAGAGTGGCTCAACTCTGGAGAGGTCGACTATTACCTGCGAATCCTTCTCACTCCTCGGAGCGCCGAACATTGAGAGGCACATGCGACACAGGTATCCGGAGAATTATTCTTAACCACCTATGCCCACCCCAACTCAACCTCAATGCTCGGTAAAAGCACTATCATCGCGGGCCAACACCCAGATCGATGGCAATCGAGGGGGCGCTAGTCCTCTCACCTAGCCGTTGGTCCCTAGTCTAAGTCGATAGCGCCTCTAGAATCGCCCAGTTGGAATGTCAGTAAGTTGACCCCTTTTCCCCAAATACAGCTCGGCGGGTTTCTAGATAAGGCGACAGGGTATCGACAGCCTCTTTATACGGTTCAGAAGCATGGTTTCACCCAAACCACGCCTCTTGGCATTATTTGATTGGTCTATTCACCTTACGCGCGGTTCACTTTATCCGCCGTTCGATGTCACTCTCATCTCGCGCTCAGCTTCTTCAGCTGGCGTTAGATGTCGCTCCCTACTCTTTCCCTCACTCTAACCATTTTTGACTCATGGGCTTTCATGTTGGTAAAACAGTTTAGAGTAACGAGAAAATCTCGTTACACACCTCCCTCTTTAGGAGAGGTTTCGGCCCGAAACCTACACTTCAAGTCGAAATCTCCTGGAGCAACTCATCTTCCGACTCTTCGGTCGGAGAGTCGTCTAAGGCTTCCTTATAGGGCTTCATGTCCACTGTTCAGGTGCCTTTTGGATTACGACCAACTAAGTTAGAAACTTCGTAGAAGTTTCTGGAATGCTTCTTGGTGACTACGAAGGGGCCATTGAATGGTTTATTCAATGACGCTTAGCGATGCTTTGCAGTATTTGGCAGTTCATGGTTGCGAACTAATACTAGTTCACTACCTCGTATTCACCAGCTCTTTGGCGCAAGTGATAGGCTTGTGCCAGTCTATCATCAGCTTCGGCTAACGCATATCTGAACGCTAGCCTCAGGGTATCATGACGTTTCATACGTTCGACCCAGGAGGCTGTTGGTGTCTCTTCGACTTGTACGTCACCTTTCATCTTTCGTCACAGCGAGTTCGCGGGCTCTGGTTCTCGACCAAAGTTTACGAAAGCAGATGTGGCTTTCAGAGAACTGTGCCGGGTTGTATTGTATGCAAATCTAAATGCATTCAAATGGCAATCCCAATCACGGTGGTCTGCTTCTACATATGCTCTTATCATAGCCTTAAGCGAACGATTCACTCTTTCGGTGGGGTTCGCTTGTGGATGATATAGGGGCGTTGTTCGATGCTTCATGTTAGTTGAAGCAACGAGCTCTCTTAAGTCCTTATTTACGAACTCGGTTCCATTATCGGCTAGCAACTCTCTAGGAGCTCCCCATCGATAAATGATGATCTCCTCAAGTGCTTTCCGTATCGTCGCTCCCGTAGCTTTATGTCCTGCTTTACTTCGCGTAAATGGTCCCATTATATCCGCCGGTATTCTAGACCATGGTTTCTCGATTGCTCGAGGTCACATTTGTTCTATCGGCGCTTGTTGGTGCCCTTTGCAGCGCTGACATTCGTGACACGAACCCACATAGGTCATCACGTCTTCAAACATCACTGACCAATAATATTGTGTGGCCAAACGTTGGCAGGTCTTATCGGCACCTTGGTATTCGGCCTGCGGCAAATCGTGGCATTCTTTAATAGCTCTACGTTGTAACTCTCGAGGGAGAACTACTTTTCACTCGTTTAAATCCTCATTGTCTACTGAAGCGAAAGTGTTCGGTTTGAGGTGGTATAATAATCCTTCAGAGAACTTCCACATATGGTTTTTCTCTGATACTCTTTCTACGTCTCGACAGCGGCGCAGATACCATTTATCTTGGGTATCTAAGGCAGTTGTCAGTAAATCTGTCGCTCCTTCCGGAGGGCGGGACAAGGCGTCCGGCACGTGATGTAACAGGCCCTTTCGGTGTACGATTTTGTAATCGTACTCCAGCCTCAAATTCCATCTCGTGAGTCTGCCGGCGGGGTCATTCATATCATGAGGGCGCCTTAGACTGATGTGGTCCGTCATTACTGTGAGGGGATAACCCTCCAAGTAGCATCCGAACTTCTTTACGGCTCATACGACCGCTAAACACTCCTGCTCAGTAACTGTGTACTTTCTCTCAGGGTCTGTCAAGGAACGGCTAGCGTAGGCTATTACCCGCTCTTGTCCGTCTTGCACTTGCGTCAGCACTGCACCTAGCCCTGCGCATCCGTTTGCATAGTGAACGGTAGCGAGAAATCCGGGCATGCGAGTGTTGGAGCCGACGTGAAGTGCTTTTTCAGCGCCTCAAAGGCTTCCTGCTGTTCTGTTTCCCAAACCCAGGGTTGTTTCGTCTTGGTCAGACGTGTCAAGGGTTGAGCCACAGTTGCAAAATCTGGTATAAATCGTCTATACCCGGAGGCCATTCCCAAAAACCGACGAACCTGCCTGTGACTCTTAGGTACTGGGAACTCTACGACTGCCAACGTTTTGTCAGGGTCGACTTGCAATCCTTCACTGTTCACTACGAATCCGAGGTATTTCACCTCGGACCGACAGAACACGTTCTTTTCACGATTTATGCTTAAACCAGGGTCTCTCAATTTATGGGGAACTTTTCCCAGCCACTCTAGGTGTTCTTCAAATGTATTTGACACGATAATAATATCATCCAAGTACACGAAGACAAGGGGATATATTTCTGGCCAATGATTTTATCCAGAGCTCTCTGGAAGGTTGCAGGGGCGTTCGTCAAGCCATATGGCATACGTTCGAACTGGACAAATCCTCTTCCAGGTACCGTAAAGGCAGTGATCTCTTACGTGTCCTCTGCTAACGGAATCTGCCAATACGCCGCGCTCAGATCGAGCGTTGAGATGTAATTGGCTTGTCTTAACTCGTCAAGGATGTCGGTCATGTTTGCTACCGGATATCTATTCTTCTTCGTGACTCCATTTACCCGACGGAAGTCGATACAAAATCGATACTTCCCGCTGGGTTTCTTCACCATGACGACCGGGCTGTTCCAGTCGCTTGCTGATGGTTTGATGATGCCATCTTTTAGCATATCATCAACTTCTTTCAACATCGTTAATTTCAAATGATGGGAGGCTAATCTGACCCTTTGTCGAATCGGCTCGTGGCCTTCAACATCGCTTTTGTGGGGTGCTAGTTTGGAAATCGGGAGACTCCCTTCTATCATTGGAATCTTTTCATTCAGGAGCTGTTGGAGTTGGCTATGTTGCTCTTCTCCAGGCGTCTTTAGACAATTGCACACTGTTATATGGCAGGCCCTCTCGACTGCTGCAAACTTGAAATATTCTTCAGATTTATCTCTGAAGAACCAGGACTGATCGAAGAAATCTATGACCATTCGAGCTTCTGTTAGTAAGTCTAATCCGAGTATGAAATCTTCGGATAGCGAGACCATCCAAAGTGTTTCCACTGTGACTGCTCTTCCTCCTAATACCAAAGGGGTTTTGGATGCTTCTTTCACCACTTCCAGTTGGCTATTCACCACTAGAACTCTTCTGGTTGGAATTCTTCTCGCACTAATGCCTAGTTCGCTCAGCAGCGCGATTCCCGAGCTGCTCCTGAGTCTACTAGACCGCGGATCTTTCTTCCGTGGATTTCAATATCTACATGAAAAGCAAATGTTTTGCCTTCTTTCATTGCCCGCCTCACAAACTCCAAATTAAAGTCCATTTCTGGCGAAACTAATTTCAAGGGATCCATCATTGATTCTAGAGTGAGTGTATCACTCCTACTTCCATCTTCGGATTCTTGCGTCACTGTGTCAGGGCTTCTTTCTTCCCCTCCCTCAGTTCTTTCAACGTCAGGGCCATCGCTTTCCGCTGAGATTGTTTCCGTCCTGGCTTCTGGGATGGACTCTTTAATCTCTGGGATTGTTATCTCCCTTACGACCGCGATTTCCGAGTTTTGCGGCGGCGTAGACGTTGGTGTATCATTTACGCTGCCGGCTCGGCGTTTCCCGGGTTGCTCTTCGGGCACTGTGGGAAGTGCACGTTCTTGCTGGCCCGTGCAAATGCGCCAGGAGTGTCCTCTCTGGTCACAGTTGAAACACTTAATGCCCTGTGGGTTTGCACGTCTGGCGCCAGGTCTGACGTAGCCAGTACCTCCACCGCTCCCTGAAGGGGCACCACGTCCTTGCAAGGCGTGTTCCACTTCTAACTCCTCGAAGAATATACTTTCTTCATGATCTCTTCCCGTAGACTCTGGTTCCTCTGCTGGGGTCAGTGCCTTTAGGGCTGTCCTCTGAGTGGTCCTCTGGGCCTCGGTGCTTCGATAAGCGAAGCTAGGGCACAGGGATTCTTCTGGCTGCCTTGGTGGTTGCCACTTTTCCGCACTTGCGTACAAAGTTTCTTGTCGCATGGCGTGCTTCTCTAACGCCTTCAATGTCACGTTCGCAATGAGGTTGAAACCTATCCTGTACTTAGATAACGTATTGTAGTACATATACGTTAGTTTCTGCTGTTCAGGCCATTCTGGATCCGTTCTGGCAAAGAGACTCTTCAAGTTGGCTACGAATTGAGCCACGGGTTCATCTTCGCCTTGACGACGGCTTGCTATTTCTTCGTGGAGCGCGACTTGATAGTCTAGCTCCCCAAAGTTCTCTCTGAATGCGTGGTACGCATCCTCCCATGAATAAACTTCTACCTGGCGATACCAGGTGAGTGCACTGCCTGTCAGACAACCTTTCAGAACTCCGAGAAGGTCAGTTTCTCGGATACGGAGGGTCTTCACGGCGTCGTCTACTCGAGATATGAAATCGTTCACATCTTCATCGGGTCGTCCTCAGAACTCAACTCCCCACTTCTTCAACGCCTCCAGAGCCTTCCGAGCGTTGAGATAATTCTCTCTGCGAGGTCGATATTCCTACTCACTGCTCTCGTCTGAGGAGGATCGATGATCGATGACTCCTTTGGGTCGTGGAGTGCCTCTTCTCCGCGAATGACAACTTCCTCGGTGGGATGGATTGCCGTGCGGTTTCCTCTCTGGTTCTCTCGCGGAATTGTTCCTGAGGAATCCTCGTTTCAGGAGCTACGTACATTGACCCTATTCGGCCCCGTAACTTTCTGTCGAGGCGTTGTACCCTGGCCAGCAGGTCAGCTTCGGTAGGGGTCGCCTCTGTCACCGTCACCCCAGGTATGTCTCCTGTAGGTGTCGTGGTGCCGCTAGCATTTCTGCTGCTTCTACCACTATTCTTGCTTCCTGCTGGTCTTCCTCCCTTGCGAAGGGGTGCCACCTGATCCTGCGTCTCGGCGGCTTTTATCTGCTCTTCAAAGGCCTTCGTTTGTTCCAGGAGAACTTTCAGTGCAGTCTGGTTTGCGGTCTCTTCGCTTTTTTCATTAGGTGTCCCCGCTGAGGTATAGAATCTCTCTTTCCCCAGCGTAAATGGCTCTTTCGGGAGTGGTAACTTCCCCTCCTTACTGTTTGGAGCCACTCTCCGCTTTTCGAGCTCTGACTTCGTCTCTTCTTCTGAGAGATTCCCGTCATCACTCCTCTGCTCGTTATTCCCCATAGGGTCTAGCCCCAAGTTCCTAACGACACTTGATCCAGACGCGTCATCACCCCTCCCTGGCCATATTCCGTCCAGCCTCCCTTTTGTCGAGTCACTCACCGATTCCGGGTGCGTCTCGAGTTCACTTTTCCCAGTTTTCATAGACTTTTCAGTCGTCTGGGGATCGTTCTTCGGTGCCATCTTTGCAACGAGAGAGTTCTCTGCTTGAGTCGCAGGTGTATTGCACCTAGTGCCTCGGGACAGAAAAAGGCTCTCCCGGGCTTCTGCAGCTCCTCTTATACCCGTTTCTCAAGGGTGGGGATTTCTCCCCAGTCCTGGGCATATGTCTGTCGACCGTGCCCTCTATTCCGGCCCGTGTTTCTGTCGCTGGGGTCTCTTGGGGTTTTCAACTTTCGTTAAAATTCCCCGAATTTCCTCTAAACAATCGCTAGTACATCTAGTCGAGCCTTCAGGTTGAAAGAAATTCGAATTTTCGCTCTTCCTGTCGATCGCGCCCTGTTTTGGGCATATTTCCATCGCTTCTGCGTTCTAGGGTTCTTTATTTTTCAATAAATTCCCTAGGGACCTCAGTAGTAAGAGGGCATTATTGGCGATTTTTTTTCCAGGAATTCTCCCCCCTCCCCCCTTTTTTCCATGATGTGCACGTGCACGTCCCCCCCTCCCCCCTTGGTGGCATGCCTTTGAAGAGGCCGTCGGCGCGCTGGGGAGCCCTCTGGGGTGCAGGGCCTCAAAGTTGGGGCCCGAGGGTCACAGGAAGTGGGTGGTGGGTGGAAAATGGCCGCCAGATAGAAAATGAGTGGGGGGTGGAAAGTGGGTGGTGGGTGGAAAAGGGGTGGCGGGTGGAAAGTGGGTAGAAAAGGGCTGGCGGGTAAATAGAAAAACTGTCGGACAGTATATATCGGACGGGTGTCGGGAGTCGGGCCCCTCTGCTGGTGGTCCAACCGTGGAGGACGGCGTCGGCAAAGATCCGGATGTCGCTCTCCAGGACATTGGAGCCACTGTCCTTGAGACTCCGGAGAGACATTACGCTTTTGAATTTTTTTTTAAAGGGATAACAAAGGATTGCAACCATGGATGACGCAAAGAGCGGAAAATACGTTCTCTCTCTCTCTCTCTCTCTCTCTCTCTCT